GATCTACATATTACCTCCTCCCTGGGGGACAGACAACAGAAAAGTGGGTAAAGAGAGGGAGACATTGGACAGTGTAAGACATGACAAACTAATGATAATGTATAAATTATCAAGGATTCATGAGGGAAGGGGGAGCAGGGAGGGAGGGGAAAAATGAGCTGATACCAAGGGCTTAAGTGGAGAGCAAATGTTTTGAGAATGATTATGGCAACAAATGTACATATGTGCTTGACAATGGATGGATGGATGGATTGTGATAAGAGTTGTATGAGTCTCCAATAAAATGATTTTTAAAAAATAAGTTAATGAGATACACTGCTTTGTTGCTCAATAGATTTTTGGAAAAAAAGATAAAGGGAGGATACTTTTATTAAAGCGTTGGACAATGTTTGTTTTTTTTCAATTCAGTATGTTCTACTTGCCAGTTTTTACTAATGAGACAGTTTCCACATGTGAGTGATGGTAATGCATGTCACAAAAAGATTGTAGCCAGCAAATGTTCTTAGAAGGCAATTAACATGTCACTGAGCGGCATTAGTTCTGTTTATATCTATAAATTTCTTGAGAATGAGAGACCACTATGTGCCTATGGCTAAAACACATTGTCTTTTTGTTCATTGCTTCGTTGAAGTATATTTATATTACTTAAGTGTTTTATTTCTTGATTTAAGTAAGATGCTTTGATTTGATTACTTATTTGCCTTAGAGTTCGTACATGTTGTCATTGTTGTTACGAGCCATTGAGTTAAGCCTGACTCATAGTGACCCTGTGTACAACAGAATGAAACACTACCTGGTCCTGCATTATCCCTACAGTTCTTACATTTGAGCCCAGGGTTAAGAGCCACTGTGTCATTCCATTTTGTCTAGGTCTACCTCTGTTAAGTGCCCCTCTGTTTTACCAAGCATGAGGTCATTTTTCAGGGCTTGATCTCTCCTGATATGTCCAAAGTACCTGAGCTGAAGTCTTGCCATCTTTGTCTCTAAAGAGCTTTCTGGTTGTACTTATTCCAAGACAGATTTGTTTGTTCTTTTGGTAGTTCGTGGCTGTATTAGTCTGGGTACTTTGGAGAAACAAATCCACAGCAACTCACGTATAAGAGAGAGTTTTATGTAAAGAAAAGGTGCATCACGAAAACATCCCAACCCAATGCTGCCCAAGCCCACAAGTCCAACATTAACCCATTA